AGATAAACTATTAGTTTTTTAACTTGGATTAAAACAAAACATATATCTAGGTGCTTACAGCATTGCAAAGTAAAACCCAGCCAAAGAAAAAACTTGTTTTAAAATCATCCAATCTGGATTTTGTATTATATTTTGTTTAGAGGTGCAAATCAAACTAGTTTGATTTGACTAGTCAAGTTTGATTTGACTTGAAAAATCAAGTTTTTTTATAAAAGAATTTGATTTGATTTGAAAATCAATTCGGAAGCTTGATTTGAAATCAAACTTTTTCAAACTGTTTGAAATAGTTTGAAATATGAAAAGTGTACGTACCGGCACCGGCCGTAACGCTTTTTAAATTTTTCAAGGTTACACAATGAGACATATAGTCTATTCGCTATACTTACGCGGGTTTCGGATTAACAAAACTATGCAAATTAGTCATTGATAACCAGTTCCAATAAGCCTCTTTCCAAGAAATTAGGCAAAATTGCCCTAATGGTCAGATTTAAATTAAAATAACATTAGGGTAGGTACTAAATTTGTTACAAATATTGCAGTTGAATTGATTCTTTGCAAGTGTTGACATTGTATGTATTTTGTAAATTTAGTGGACATTTTAAAAATGCCTAGACGTGTGTTAGATGTAGATAGTCTAATTTGTAGTGAGCATAAGTATTTTATGGATTAAAAAGAAAATGGCGGTCCTTTAAAATCGGTAATGTCTGTACAACAACGCGTATGGGATGCTCTAGAAATTAGTGAAACCAAATTAAGAGGAGTATTACAAAATAACAATAGTGAACTGCCGAAAGAAGATCACCGCAAAAGTCGCTCATCATTGAAAACGAAAGATATTCCAGATGGAAAGAAATTTAAAATTCGTGATACCATTTATCGAATGAGGGCCAACAAGGAACATGTGACCTTAAATACAATTCTCTTGGAATTAATAGATAGAAAATTTGACGACATTGGCAAGTGATACATAACTTGGGTTTCAAATTTCAAAAGGAGGATAACAGAAAAGCCCTTTGTGAAAGAAGTTCTGTCATGTACAAGAGAATTAACTTTCTAAGAAAATATTCTAAATTTAAAGAAGGGGCGAATTTTATATATTTAGACGAAACATGGATATTTTCTAGGGGTGCAACCAAGAGAATATGGTAAGATGATAACTTAAAGTCATACCAATGGAGAAGGGAAGCGAAACATAATTTTACATGCAGGAGGGAAATCGGATTTTATAGAAGGTGTTGATTTAATATTTTCATCTTAATCAAAATCCAGTGACTATCACGATAATATGAACACAGAAATGTTTGTAAAATGGTTGCATGAAAAACTTCTCCCAGGTTTAAGTGAGCCCAGCGTAATTATTTTATACAATGCACCTTACCATTCTCAAGTATTAAACAAAAGTCCAACGAATTCTTGGACTGTTGATAAAATTAAAGAATGGTTGACAAAGGAACATATACCATTTCCTCAATTTATATTAAAATCAGAATTATTACGCTTGGCAAATATACATGCAAAACCAAAAACCTTTGTTGTGGATCAGATTATTGAAAGTTACGGTCGCCAAGTTTTACGTCTGCCACCGTATCATTGCCAATTTAATCCCATCGAATATATATGGGGAATAGCAAAACAATATTATGACAACCATATTGGGCCTAATGGTTATAGTGCCGACGTAGTTAGGGAAACTTGGCGAAAAGCACTTTCAATTGCAACTCCAGAAGTGTGGCGGAACTGTATATCCAAGTGCGAGAAACTAATAGAAGATTGGTGGACTCGTGAAAATAAAATAAACGAAATAAATCCAATCATAATAACAATTAATGGTGATGACAGTCATGATGATGACGATTATGATATTTTGGATGTTAATGACTGATTTTAATTTTTGTTGGCAAGTTCAATTTTTTTTTATTTTTCATTTGAAATTCTCTACATGGAACAAATTTTTATATTAGAAAATATTTTATTTCAGCTAAATAACCCTCTTATTATACATAGACCATATTTTCTGTGTGAAATGTAATATAAAATTATTATTATTATTATTATTATTAGGTTTATAATAGCCACATTAGACTCCATTAATGAAGAAATTTAATTCTGCTCTCAATTATACAAAAGATTCTCCATTATTATTTAATTAAAAAGTTGTACATTATTTTTCATTTCATTTAACCAGTTGATATTTCCCCAAAGAACAGGTCAAACTTTCAGGTACTTACCTGGAAATACTCATAAAATTTTTAATCCGTAACCTGCGTAAGTATAGCGAACAGACTGTAGTAGGGATACAGTATCCCGGCTGACGATACGTCGTCGAAAGATTATTTGTTTTAGAATTTATATTTTGCCAAGCGCCAGAGGAACAAAACACAGCCAGAGGCTTACGCTGACCACCTATCTCTTTAGAAAAAAATACTAATGAGTGATTTGGAAATGTCCGACCCTGAACCATGTCAATCCGGCGGTTCAGAATTTATCCCTGATGAAAATGAATATGATTCTGAAGCCAATGATGTGACTATTCAACAAAACAAAATCAGCCTTTGTTATGGTCTGGAATTCACATATATTAATCACTTTATTTTATAAAGGTTGATATAATTAGGTCTCGTTTTGTGTGATATATGTATATATATTAGATTTAGATATATTAACTTCATTCCTATTGCTCCATTTCGTTTTTCCATTTTTACAGCGAACTGTGTCCTTGCTATCAAAACAATAGTGTGTTGTTCACACGCAGTGTGCTTAATATAAGTTTGATATTTCAAAATTTTGAATTGTCAGATTTGATTGACAATATTTTTGAAGCGATCGTAATTTAGTAAAATTAGAGGAACGTGTTTTCGAAGACGATTTTCAAAGTGAATAGCTGTGTGTTGGTGCGAGTTTGATTTGGATTTGTTAGATATACCGTTGTAAACGGGATTTGATTTGCACAACTATTTTGGAATTTCGACTGATAGCTAGTCTTATATTTGGCAGTCGTTATTTTTGCCGCAAGGGATTTAATTATACTGCTATTCCTGGTTCAACTACCACCGAACAAATTTCTTCAAGAGACCACGCATCCTCCATTTTGTAAACCCTCTTCGAACTGAGGTAAGTTAATTGATAATCTCTGGTAACTATGTTTGATTGTTATATCGGCTTTTCTTATTTCTTCTAGGGTTTTTATTTTCCCTTTTGCTTCTAATTTTGGATTTTATGGTTTTCGTTTCATATTCGGCGCAGTTTCAATTTTAGTGTTCCCGATTTACCGGCTATGATCGTGGAATATTTATCAATTGGGTGATAGATTGTAGCTACACCCTGAACGTTGGACTGAAGTGGCTGGAACCCGGACCCGTAGCTAAGTACCGAATAAGGATATCATTTTCAATTTGTGTTATTATCACTATTAATTTTACTTTTAATTAGAAGCATTATCAACATTAACGTTATTATTATTCTCGCTATTAGTTTATTTATAATAAATATTAGTGCTATCAATATCTTCGGTATTAATATTATCACTAATAATTTTATTATTAATTTTCCTTGTGCCCTTGATATTAGCACTACTAATAATACCATTATTAATAATATCACGGTTGGTATATTATCGATATTATTTTGTTACTATTACCATTTTGAGTTATTGTATATATATATATATATATATATATATATATATATTTTTGCCTCTTAGTGAACACACTTGTCACTAATTTGTTCCGTGGTTTGGCTGGAACTCAAACTATTGGGCTTATAGTAGTTACGTAGTGGGACTTCAACCCTACAGTCTGTAAAGCGCGTATGATCATACCAGCTAGTGTACGGCTCTACTATCTGTTTTATTTTTCTTTCCATGTTAGCTTTACATATGTATCCTATTTTAAAATTATAATACAGGAGCTTCTTGTTAACAAATGTCTATGGACTATATCTTGTTAATAACTGATTGGCCTGTCATTATAAACATTACGATTCGATTGTTGTTTACTTTTCCGCGTTTTGTCTACTAGTGAATCATATAATTTGTGAACTGCCTTCAGCACTTTGACCAAAATTCGGTGGCGCTCATATACCTGGACTTGACTTTATAGCTGACCTTGAAAAACAATATTTTAAGGAAACTTACCCCTGATTCTTCTCTGAGCTAGAATACTATTTTGAAGCCTACATTATTCTGGGTCTAACAACGGCTTTGGCCTTTTAGTTCAAAATAAAAAGTAATTATAACCGCACCTTGGCACTTTTATCGCTAGCCCTCCACCGTTAAAATACTAGGGTAGCGAAGGCACGGGGTGGATGTAATACCTTTCAAAGCCAATGTAAAGATTCCGGAAATGTTGATATAGATGTAAAAACTTTCTTTCAAACAGCTTGTAGTAAAATAAAATAGTTATCTGAAGGCAGTGCTATTAGTTCAGAAAATGTATTGAATTGATGGAAGAGGCACGATACTGTATTTCCAATATCTAAAATGGCTAGAAATTTCTTAGACATATCTACTACTTCGGCATCAATAGAGAGGATTTTGTCAAGGGCTTCTCTAACAGACATCAACATTAAAATAAAGAAAAAATGAAAATGTAAATCAACATTTATAATTTGTGAATCAAGATTTCTGTTCTATTTTAATATCCAACAAACGAAGTATAAATACTTTATTTTTATTAAGCAGCTTTTTTTATATTCGTAATAATAAAATATTTGCACATAGCGATTTAATTATTCAAACTTTCAAACTAGTTTGATCAAAAGGTTTGATATTTCAAACTTTAAAATTTTATAGTTTGATTTGATTTGATTCAAAGCACTGCTAGGTTTGATTTGAGTTTTATTTGAATTCAAGTCAAATTCAAGTCAAACTCTTAAAATCAAATCAAACTCGTGCATCTTTAATTTTGTTTAAACAAAACTGTTGTACAAACTTAGAAAAAGAAACCATCTAAAACAAAAATAACTTAAAAAATAATATAAAAAATAAAATAGTTTTTAAAGACCTATTCCAAATTATCCTCCATGTCAGTTTCTGGTAAGGCGTCCGGTTCAGTATTACTCGATTGCAAAGCTAAGTATTCAGCGTGGTACTGTTTTTTTATTTTAAGGCTTTTACAGAGATCTAAAAGGTTATTTAATTTCTTCTTATTAATAGGTAATTCGGAGTTATAGGCACGAGGAATAAGTTCAATCCTTTTTTCAGGAAATGCTACCTCATGGCCCTCCGACTCTAGGTCATAATTTGTAAATACGACAAATTTGTTTATGGAACTTTTATCAAATTTAGCTCTGGTAATGTCAGTTATTTTAATTTCCAAACCTTGAGATGTTTTAACCTTTTTAGGAACTGCCAGGGACTTCCCGTCCAAAATGTCTCTATAGCTTATAGGGACTACGTAATAGGGTTTTGGATGAACTCTTGCATTTCTAAGGACAGTAGTCCATTTCGACGGTGCCTGAATATTCATTTTGAAAGAGTACTTTTCTATAACTGCATGTACGCTATCAACAGGCATATAGGTATGTCCAGCTACTAAGTATGTGATTGCTAACGTGTCTATTGACTTCGAATAATTCAAAAAATAACAAAGCATTGCCAAAACAAATTTGTTTTTGAACAATTGTCACAGAAAAGAGACACAAAGCTAAATGTTTCTTCATTATCTAACTTAGTGAGGTATGAATATAAATTGGTACATATTTCGTTTCCATCTTTTTCGCCCCACAAATAACAAAATCCGTTTTTTGACTTGCTCTCATAAATGGTAAAATTGTACACTGCGTATTTTCTAGTAATTCCGAACATCATACTAGGTCCGTGTGGTGTAGCTAGGACTTTCTGCAAATCGAAAGAAACTACAAGGAATTTATTTTAAAAAGACTTGGTTTGTTCGGATAAAAAAACTTGTTTAGCAGCGTCTTTATTTTGTTGATGTTTGAGGTATTCGTCCTTGTCTTTTTCTGTCTTCTCAGATTCAGAGATACTTTCAAAGCGAACACAATGTACACACTTATCCTTTCTCGGTACGTGTATACCAATATTAAAATCTCGTTTAAACAATTTTTTGAAGCTGGAAATTTTTAAAGGAGTTCCGTTGTCTTCTTGGATCTTCAAGCAATAATTTCTGTAGAGATTCGCAACACTTTTAGTTTCTGATGGCAAATACAATTTAGTACTCGACCCCCGGCAGTAATGTGAGGGTACTGCGAGCAGACTTTCAATGTATTTTCTAAAATTTTAAATTTGCTGGGAGCTTAATTTATGTTTGGGTTTGTGTTTACCTTTTAAGTCTTAATTTTCACTTATTTTTCCACGAATGGCAGACCTAACTAGCTTTTGAGTTATGTTGAAAGTATTTTTTAAAAACTGTAAACATACACGTTTTTCTACATTATCTTTCATTAAAAAATACTGATACGTCGAGACTCACCAACTACTCTCTTTCTTTTAACAGGTATTACATTAACACAGTCATATAAAAAGTTTTTTTTGTCTAATGAAGTTTTGAGCTTCCAAAATCGTCGAAAAATGTCGCTTTATTCTTCCTTAGTAAAATTATTATACTCGTTAACACACTTTTTATTAAAACATGGATTGGAAAATGATTTTTTGGGAACTGGTTGAGTTTTATAGGTCAAGTAACTTTTGCCAGAGTTCTTTCTTTTTTGTTTTTTATAATACTATTTTCCTTCTTTTTTCGCTTTCTTCCTTGGCCATTTTCTTTAAAAGACTCACAAGATGAATTAGAACTAGAAGAACTATCACTATCGGTTTCGGTAGCATTGTAGCCAGACTCCATCTCAGACTCCGTCTCGGAAGACATCTCAAACTCCATGTCACTTCCATTTTCATTTTCTTGAGTTTGTGCTGGTGAATTTGCATCTTCAGTTTCCTCTTGCATCGGTATACTATTATCTTCAGTAACTTCGTTGCTGCTTGAATCGGAGTAATTTATAATTATTTTTCTATCACAGTTTGGTGCTAATAATATGTCATCACTCTTCTTATATTCAGGTATACTCGTTATTAAGCAATTAGAATCCGCATCATTTAAATTACTGCTTTGTTCATTGGTGGTCATATAAGAAGTAGTATTTAAATTAGGATCTTTTTTCAAAACATCGGAAATTTCATATTGATTGTGCAATTATACAAAATTTGAATTTCGGTTTCAACTTTATTTTCAGGCTCTAAAATGATCACATAGTTTTGTAAAGCTTCTTGAAGAATATCACTCGCATTGGTGATAGTATAGTTATTCCGTCAGTATTCTTTTCTTTTTTGTTTGTTTTTGAATTGCGGACCATTTCCAAGCACTTCAGTCCTCGCGACGGCATCTAAAAACAATAGTATAATATTAAGTATCAAGAACAGTTTACCGATCAACTAAGCAAATGTTAATAAATAAGATGTTTTTGAGTCTAACATGCATCTATTTTAATAAAAACCAGGAATACAGATATCAAAAAATCTTATTATCTTTAAAAACTGATCATTTCCAAAGTACAAATAATAGTTCTTGTTTATAATAAACAAACTTTTTTATGATAAACACACTTTTTTCTTAACACTTTTTTGTAATGAAAAAAATTATAGAGATCGATATCGCAAACAACTTTTAGTTCAACATGTTTCATAAAAATCAGAATTTTGCATATTTTGTTAAATTCCTCGAATACGGGCCATTTCAGGAAATTTTGAAATAAAACAGAAATTATAGATAATAATATTAGAAGTAACTTTTACTTGAACAAATTTTTTCTCCAAACATAATTAACAGATATATTCCATAAAATATAAAAACGCCCTTCCATAAAGTAGCCCCCCAGATATTCCGACTTTATCCAAAATCTTATCATTTCACGTCAGGCCGAAATAAAACTTATGTTTAAAATTTAATGTTTTTTTATCCGTTTTTGAGTTTTCTTCAAATTTCAAAATTTACAATTTTCTCAAATTTCTCGAATACGGTCTATTTTAGAGAAATTATGTATAGGATAAAAATAATAGAGAATTATATTACAAACTTTTATTTGAACAATTTTTATAAAAAAATATTTTTTTACATTTTGTCAAATTTCTCGAATACGGACCATTTAAGAAAAATTTTATATAGAACAAAAATAGATAATAATATAAGAAGTAACTTTTATTTGAAGAATTTTCTTCCTCAAACGTATATAACAGATATATTCCATAAAATATAAAAATGACCACCTATAAAGTACCCCCCAGATGTTCTGACTCTGCTCAAAATCTAATCAGTTCATTGGACGCTGGAACACAGACACACAGACATTATCGCGAAAATAGTCAAAACGGATTCAGGGGACCTCAAAACGTAAAAATCCGTCGAAAACTCCTTCCTATACTTTCCTTTTATCTGTATACAGACAGGAAACTAAAAATGAAAATAATGATTTAGCAAGTTGTAAATCTCCAGAATTATTTAATTATTTCTGTACCATCCGTGAATAAGTGGATAAGTCAAATTTTAGTAAAAATAAGATTTCTACATATATCTAAAGAGCTCTTCCCATTCTGTTTGGTAAATAAATGGGTAATTCAAATTCGCAATAGTTCCTCCATGATTTTACTTCAGAGGACGCCGTGAATAGTTGAATTTCTACAATTTTTTGTGCCAAAACCGGTAACTTCAGCTATCCCCGGATTTGGAAGAGGTTTATTCAAATGATCAGTCGTTTTTTAGTTTTCTTTTCCAATCAAAATGTATGTTATTTGAATTAAGTTCACTTTGCTTTTTTCATGAATAAATAAAAATATTAAAAAAGTTTTTTCCTGTTTATACTAGAATAAGTCAGTAACTCAACAACAACACATAAATTTGAGGTCAATAAATAGACAAGTCAGATTTTTTCCATTAAGTAATATAATTTCACAGGTCATAATTATTTACATTGTTGTTTTTATAATTAACAACCTATTTCAAAAAAACGAAATTCAACTTAAAATTTGTTTTTCGAAAACATCAAAATGTTGTTTAAAATGGCCATACAGAAAAACTTCAAATTTTGACTCTCCGACTTATTCACAGATGGTACAGATTTATATTTTGGAGTAAGGATGACAAAGAACTTGGTGGATATGCTTGTTTGTAGACAGTAGGTAAACTTTTTTACTTTCCTATCTGTATACAGATAAGGAAAGTATAGGATTTTTACGTTTTAGGGTCCCCTGAATCCGTTTTGACTATTTTCGGGATGATGTCTCTGTGTGTGTGTGTGTGTGTGTGTGTGTGTGTGTGTGTGTGTGTGTGTGTGTGTGTGTGTGTGTGTGTGTGTGTGTGTGTGTGTGTGTGTGTGTGTGTGTGTGTGTGTGTGTGTGTGTGTGTGTGTGTGTGTGTGTGTGTGTGTGTGTGTGTGTGTGTGTGTGTGTGTGTGTGTGTGTGTGTGTGTGTGTGTGTGTGTGTGTGTGTGTGTGTGTGTGTGTGTGTGTGTGTGTGTGTGTGTGTGTGTGTGTGTGTGTGTGTGTGTGTGTGTGTGTGTGTGTGTGTGTGTGTGTGTGTGTGTGTGTGTGTGTGTGTGTGTGTGTGTGTGTGTGTGTGTGTGTGTGTGTGTGTGTGTGTGTGTGTGTGTGTGTGTGTGTGTGTGTGTGTGTGTGTGTGTGTGTGTGTGTGTGTGTGTGTGTGTGTGTGTGTGTGTGTGTGTGTGTGTGTGTGTGTGTGTGTGTGTGTGTGTGTGTGTGTGTGTGTGTGTGTGTGTGTGTGTGTGTGTGTGTGTGTGTGTGTGTGTGTGTGTGTGTGTGTGTGTGTGTGTGTGTGTGTGTGTGTGTGTGTGTGTGTGTGTGTGTGTGTGTGTGTGTGTGTGTGTGTGTGTGTGTGTGTGTGTGTGTGTGTGTGTGTGTGTGTGTGTGTGTGTGTGTGTGTGTGTGTGTGTGTGTGTGTGTGTGTGTGTGTGTGTGTGTGTGTGTGTGTGTGTGTGTGTGTGTGTGTGTGTGTGTGTGTGTGTGTGTGTGTGTGTGTGTGTGTGTGTGTGTGTGTGTGTGTGTGTGTGTGTGTGTGTGTGTGTGGTGTGTGTGTGTGTGTGTGTGTGTGTGTGTGTGTGTGTGTGTGTGTGTGTGTGTGTGTGTGTGTGTGTGTGTGTGTGTGTGTGTGTGTGTGTGTGTGTGTGTGTGTGTGTGTGTGTGTGTGTGTGTGTGTGTGTGTGTGTGTGTGTGTGTGTGTGTGTGTGTGTGTGTGTGTGTGTGTGTGTGTGTGTGTGTGTGTGTGTGTGTGTGTGTGTGTGTGTGTGTATGTGTGTGTGTGTGTGTGTGTGTGTGTGTGTGTGTGTGTGTGTGTGTGTGTGTGTGTGTGTGTGTGTGTGTGTGTGTGTGTGTGTGTGTGTGTGTGTGTGTGGGTGAGTGCGTGCGTGAGTGCGTGCGTGCGTGCGTGCGTGCGTGCGTGCGTGCGTGCGTGCGTGCGTGCGTGCGTGCGTGCGTGCGTGCGTGCGTGCGTGCGTGCGTGCGTGC